ATTGTTTTCTATAAGATAATATCATGGCCTAAAAGGAGGTATATTATTTGAAGGTACATAATAATTTTCAGCGGTATGTGCACAGAATGAGTGATGAGACAAATACATTAACGATACTCGGGCATGGAATATTTCACGATCATGAGGTAAGGAAAAATTTGTCATTAAAAATAAATATTAATTTACCGCTGAATAAACTTAGCTGAAAGTTAAATAATTATTTACGCAACGAAAATGGCGAGCTTGCAATCATACCAATGAATCACGCATCACGCGATGGTCGGGGGCGAGCGGGAGGTGCGCTGATGCGCAAGGGCGGCGGTGTTGCTTTGTGAAGGCGCGCGAGCAGACGACGGCCTCGGGTGCCAAAATCAATGTTATCAGCTTTGGTATTAATATCTTCATTTCATTTATTTATTGGAAAGTTTGGAAATATATGAAGTACCTAATTTCATCACATAATCTTAACTAAAGTCGAGTACCGAGTGCTTTTGTCCAGTACCGTTAGAATGTAACCAGTATCTCACCAGTTCGTCTATATGCCAGTGTGTATTCCATTTTGACTGCCGCCTGTAGCTATATTGACTTGACAGATTTTAAAATGATTTTAATATTTTTCACACTTGAAAAATATCGTATTCTACCAGGGAATCTTATAAAGACATTTGGACTCTCCGGTTATTTAAATCAGTATAACCACTTTTAGTCTGTTTAAGGATGATTGTAACATGTCATAAAGATTTTAAAAGTGCCAATATCTACAAAATAGTACACAAACATAATATTTACCGCGTTTGGCGACGAGCCAGGACGTTAGTGGACCGTAACGCAATCGACAGAGGATTTATATTGTGTGTAAACAAACGCACATCTATGCTTACTTGTTAAACTCTGTCACCACGCACTGATTGCATCCAAATACACACAAAGTAAACAGAATTTTTTAATATTTAAATATAATAACATCAAGACTTTTCTTTTGGAATAAAATCTTGATTATTAGGGATGATACAATCAATAAGTATTCACTAATATTAGGAATTGATATAACTCTACATAAATGTATTTTTGAAAATGCTTATTTCTTTTCCATTTATTAATTACATTTTTTTGTAGTGTTTCGTTTTGATTTTCAAATACGACAATCAATAACTTGGAAAGAAGTTAATTATTGAACGAAGCCCTTAAAATTGTGGGTCAAGGTTTTTAACGTCTATAGGTAAAAAACCTTTTTTCATACAACCTGATGATATAAAAATAGAAATAACTGTGACGAGCCTTCCGCGCCCACGATTTGCCTAGGAATGCTGATTCGATTCCAGTTAAATGTGCCAACGCGCCATTACAACAGACAATGTCGACTAGTAGTCAATCGCTCCTGGCCATGGTTGGACATAGAAAAACTAAAGATATTTTAGTACGTTACAAAACAAACGTATACTGTTTCATTTGAGTTACGTTTATCCGGGTATTTTGTAAGAGAGAACCTTAAAAGGTCTTTGATGATACATTAATGTAAGCAGGCTCGAGGCTTTCAAAAGGGTTAACCTAAGTTGTAATTTTCACGTTCAAAGACAACTGAAATCCCTATCACTAGCACAGTGTTGGCAAAAGATATGAGAAAACAATATCCGACACCTCGCCTTTACTATACAACTAGTAGGTACGTAACCTAACAGCTAAAAACAGCTAACAACAATTTTGGACTATGACGAGGTCTTGATAATTGATATGTCAGTTTAATTAATAACTAGAAACGTGATCGATTACGTTAACTTAAAACGCAATATTTAGAAAATGTTATATCACAATGTATTGCTGCATCGTTAAGTCCAAAGTGCGGGCGCGTGTATTGCTCACTAAGTGTCTATTTCCACTTAGCATACATCCGAATAATTCTGCCACATGAGATTGTCATGTTGAATGTTGTTACAGTCATGCCGTGTATATGGAAATAAGACACTCCATATAAGATGTGGGCAGAAGGAGGCTCGCCGTTAAGTGGAAACCGGGTCTAATAGGGCGGTATATGCAGCGTCTTCAGAAGCTGATTCTATCGACTTGCAACTGCCTAGCGCAAGTGTTATCGTATTATAATACATTCATTGAATTTGGAAATATTCTAATGTTCATATTCTATTTAGTAGATAAATTGTAAAATAACTATAATCATATCACTTTGATCCTGATCTGACGTGAGAAATATAACTGTTTGCACGTTTTGTGTTTTGTTTAATGCTTCGGACAATGCAACTTGCTAATCTACCTACCTAACATTAATTAGTACGCTTTAATATAAACATGTTTTAATTGAAAGTACAAATTGAGTCGTAGAAACTTTAGAAAAAGCTAACAAATAAGACAACGACTAATTAGATCCATCTCATCGCTCAATTAAAGACATTGACTAGACTTTAAAAAGAAAACTAACGATCTTTTATTTTCTTGTTTGTTGTTGAAAATCTACGACTCGCCTTTAGATGTGTTTTTGTTGTTTTTGTTTTTAAGACTTTTTATTTAATACCCTAATTAGTTTATTTTATTTTTTAGTTGATGATAAACATTATTTCTCGCAGTCGAACCTTTTATTTGATTCAAATCTTTTAAATGATTAGGCAAATTCATAAAATATTATTATACAAAGACAATATAACCGCAGTATTTTGCTCCTGAATTAAATAAGAAATAGAATGTCAAGATGGTTTGCAATAACAGCAGAGAGCAACATCACCGGCTCTAAGCTTCCTGCAATACAACTAAGTGGCCACTGCAGCGCCTCCGCCAACAAACAGTTCATAAAATTACTGCGCTCCCTTTGAATATCTCTTGGCCACAATGAAAACATATCACAACAGTACCATGAAATTGTGAATTATAAAAGAAGTATAATAATGTGATTGAAGCAAATGATTTTATCTTCATTATACGTAAAGCTTCAATACACATACTCAAATTGTTGGAGAGTTAAGGTGTCTCACATTAATGCGAAATACGCGAAAGCTTTTATTTATATACTTGTTTCAGAACGTCGCATCTTACAGCCGCTGTTACTCCGGGTAATAAATACAAAATGTCCGAATGAAGCCCTCAAAATTACTCTGCTCAGCTCTATTACAAATTTTCTTATATTCTATTCAAATTTACTATCCTATAATATTTCGTCCTATTTAGTTTGTGTTCAAGAAGATTTATATTATTTGTAGTTTGTAGCAAAATTCAGTTCCAATGAACAAAAGTCATTTACTAATAAAGAGGTTACACATAAAAGCAATTGACTTTATTGATGGTAAAATTGAAGACGATAGCTAACTAACTTGTAACTACAGAAGTGACCTGAAACATAACGATCTGTAGAGTGCGCCCTCGCGCCTTCATGCCCTCGCGCCCTCGCGCCCTCGCACCCATCTCTTTAATAAAGAAAAGGACTGTACAAACAATAATTTCCTTTTTCTTTAGCTTCTGTATACATATAATACCGCTCCCTCCTAAATTGAACATCGGTAAGATAAATAAAATTTTATGAAAACGCTCAAAGACAATATCTATTAAACCCAACATTATATACACATATGCAGTCATATGTAGAAGTAGGAATAAAAACAAAATGCAGATAAGATTCACGGTAACAGATGAAACAGGTGCGATGAATGATTGAGGATGATTAATGATTAACGCCGCCTGCCCTCACCTTGATAACTGACAATGAAAGCCTTTTAACGTCATTAAAATGATGTGAAACCATCTGGTTTAAGATATTTATTTAAAACGAAGAAAAAAATCGAAAAAGATGGTAAAGGCGTCCACCTCGCCAAAACGGCTAAGTGAACGATAGACATACGCAATAAGTTTACCATCGCGGTATTATTTCAATTTCTTAATGCGTCTCCCAAATAAGTATCTGTATACTTAAAGGTTAACAGACATAAGAAACTGACCAGAGTTAAACTCCAGACAGACTCCAGAAGAGACAGTTCCTCGTAAATGCGAGGGACTGAATGCCAACCTCCGCCGTCGGAGAGTCTAATGTGGCTCAGAAGAAAAATAAGAAAGCCTATTGTCAAAAGCTGCTTATAGGACCATATCGCATGTTTTTTTATGAATTAACCAAAAGGGTATTCATAGGTTTAAGTCGTTCGTCTGTACATTAAAAACATTTACTTCAATTTGTATTAACTGCGAAATGGATAACTAAAATCTCAAATTATTAAAAAAACTATTGAGGGTTGTGTTTCATAGAAATATCAAACCTTGATATTGTATTTTATGAATAAGTCTAATAAAATATGGAGCGAAAACTTTAAAATAGTTTTTGGTAGGAATTTTGTTACACGATAATAAATATATCTGTTTTTTGCCGACTTCAAAAAAAGGATCAATTCGTCTGGATGTTTTTTTTATACCCAATAACTCAGCTCGATCCGTATTTATTTAAGTATCTATCAATTTTGAAAACGGACCAAAAAACATCTTTGCGAATGTTAGGTAAGGCTTTAAAATATTTAAATCGTTACCATGAAGTATTGCAACCGCCATTTATCCGTTTTGTAATGGTAACGCAGTTTCCGCGAGGACCGTCGCCCGTCGGAGATATACTCGTATCTCACATCGCAACATTACTCAAACTTGAAGAAAAACTGAGTAAATGCTCTTCTTATTGCTTACTTTTACTTTTTTCGTTTCAAAAATTTAAATTTTTTAAATAATTAAGAATTAAAAATTTTAATTTTAATTATTTAAAAATAAAAAATTTTAATTTTAAATTATTTCAAATTTACGACCGGTGAATACTAAAACCCGCATCCGTCGCGAATAAAAAAAAATATATTTGTAAAACATAATTGAAATTTTGAAAGTAAATTAAAAAAAAAACTGTATATCCCATTGAACAGTAAATAAAAAAATATTTGGAAAAAAATCCAACATAAAATAATGCCAAAAGTGAAAAAAAATTAATTAATTTGAAAAAAAAAAAATTGTCAACGTGTATGTGTGTTACTTACCTAAGAAGATGGAAACGCGCGAAATACACCGGTAACTTGGGATGCACAGAGAGAACACCCGCTCAGGTCGGCGGACGGCACGCGAATCCGTCGCGGCGGCCCGTGTCTCGGCTCCCGTGAGCGGGGGAGGCGTCCCCTTTAATCTGTTGCGTCGCGCATGAGCAATTCATCTCATTATCATAGGACGAATCTTGTGGAAACTGCACCCACTTGTCCGCTACTCTCCGCCATACTTCGAATTTTCCGACGTTACAGCAGCACTGAACATTCGATTGGTGACGTCACTAAGCTTTCTAAAGGTTGCGTTGTAGCTTTTATGCATTTAGGAATATTCTACTAATGATGAAATGTTCAGTCTAGAACATATAATCTTCATATTTCATGATTAGAAAAACAAATTAAGCATAAATATCCTTAAGTAAATGATTTTATTTATTAATCCACACGCTTGGATTGAGTCATCTTTGTTAAAAATATTTTCAGTCGAAAATTTCGGATACGAATAACCGCTAGAACCATAGGTAATTCTCGATAATTTTACGATGTTTCTCAACTTACTTAAATATTATTCTATTATGTTTCAACAGTTACCCGTGGGTATGGAGAATATGTACATTGAAATCGGCTGTGTAAATTACTTTCGTGTAAAGGCTAGTCTTTGTTGAACTTGTATTGACGAATTTATAATTGATTCCATTTAAGTTATGCCGCTTATTTAATATGTACTTAGCCGTGAAACTTGCATATTGTCATATTTGTTTCGACAGAGAGGGTAAACACCCTGTGTAAGTTTGAAAGAAAAATATCACGAAAACTTAGTAACACGTACGTAGGTATTCATGTAACAGGTGAGGTGGGTTCGATTCATCGGCGACCGAAAGTATTAAGCAAACTTTCTGGAAACTTTAGCTCAGCTTATTTGAGGTGTGTTACTGATATACTGCTTTACATTTGATAACTATTTCCACACATAGCAGTTAGCCGTGCCATCCTAGCCGTGCGCCGTCCTTTCATGAACTGCGGCGACAACGATTGCTTTACGTGGTAAGGTGGAATACACTTTTACAATAAAAGCTTTTTATATGGTTTTAAATTATTTAGAACAAATGAATTTGCAAGAGTACGTTTGTTAATCCCCAAACACACTTTCCAAATTTAAGTTTACCTTAATCTTGGTAATGTACAACGATTCGACGACAAAATAAGCCCCGATGGGATACTACTCCGCGCCCGGTTTTCATCAAAGGATCAATCTCGGGCAGATCCAATTTGTTAAACATTTCTGATGGAGGTTTGAAGAAGGTCAAATAAAAAAAACACTAACAGTTGTTTACAATATTTTACGTAATACGAATATTACGTATAAAAATAAGTAGCAACTAAATTAAGATGTATATATAATCTTTAAAAAATATAAATAATAAATAGTATTATTTTAAGTTTATACTATATGTTATGTACTTTAGGTACATACAAGTCGTCGTGGTGGTGGAATTTAAATGTAATCTAATAAAGTTCTTAGAATCGTTGTAAAAGTACCTAAGAACAGAAAGATTTTTACCTGTGTTGTGCGATTCCTCGTACAATGAAATCTGATACTATTAGGTATGTAGATATAATCGTGAGAACGTGCTAGACTTGTTAGTCTTTTGTTTGAGAAGGAGCTTTTGCTGAATGACGTCATTATGTATATCTCTATAGATTTCAATGAACTATGAAGACAGGTATATATGTATGTAGTTATATGTATTGATATTACTGCAAGGATTTCATCACAGCTATGGGACGAACGAATATTGTATGTCTTTGGAATAGGGAATATATACATATTGCTGGTGAAACAATGTTTCTGACCAGTAATTGTGTAGAATATGGAGCAACTGTACATAATGATATACTCTTATATTAAAATTACACAAATATTAGGTATTCAACATTCATATACATTAATTATTTTTTTTAATAACTAATGCGATAACTGACAATATCATAACTGTATCTACAACTGTATCCTAGGCATTGTAATGCCGAACAGTTAGTGGACAAATATGATCCTACTAAAATATAACAACAAGAACCACTGACTTCATTAATCAATGGAAAAAACGTTTGATTAATATTCGGTAACATTGTGATGATAAGGCGATTGCATGAGCGATGCGACGCGGCGACGGAGTGCCACCAATCGTACCATTTATCTCATCATAAACTAGATAATGCCATACCATAGATGCCATACCGTTACAATGCATCAAATATATGACGAATCACGTTATTTAGTACTTTTAATATGTTAAGCTCTTCAGCAAACAGTTGCAACTTTTAACAGTGCATCCCCACTGTCGTAAAACTTGCATTATAACAATATTGCCCTCTCTCTCAAACACTCGTGTCTCCACGCCATTGCTAGATATGTATGAACTTGAGTTGATATCTTTGTCATGGTACACAATTTTTTTTGTTAAAATACATAATAAACGACTCATTGAGATTAAAATTCTTAAAAAATCATATAAAATTTCACAAAAACTGTTCTCTTTCAACGAAAATTAAAATGTCAAACATATATACCGTTTTTTAAATAAAGCAAAGGAAATTGCAAAAGCTTAAGCACATTCGAGCGCTCACTTCCGTAGCGTTTGAAATCAAAATGTCAATGTGAAAACACATCGAGCTGCGGATACCAAATTACCATATGATCGGCTCCTCTCATTCCCTCTCGTTCATAAAATTACATTTTACTATTTATTGCTTTATTATTACATCAAATGTGAAATCTCCGATACAACAATTACATTGACAAGTTTGAAAATATTACAAAGTAATAATAATATAACATAATGTAATAAATTAAACTTGTTTCAGAAATATTTATTATGATCGCTTTATAAAACATGTCATAAAAGAAATTTAGGTAATTGGCCCAACTAAACCTAGGGGCCAAATTAGCTAACGCTATCATAAACGTAATCAATTACAAGCTATATTAGAAAAAAATAAAGTGAAAGTAACTTGTGTCAGAATGAGCCGCAATCTATAATAGAATTTTGTAATTTGTGTGCATCTATAGAACATTGTTAAGTGGACACCGCTAAAAGTATTCTACGCAAAGTGACTGTTGATAGTGGACAAGCTGCGTGTACGAAAAGCGAGAGAAAAAGTTTAGTTTAGGCCAACGTATGATGCCGCCGCCATAAATAACCACAGTAATTTCGGTGGAAACGAGCAATTAATAAGTGTCCGTTACCGCATACGAGCCGATGTAAGTTTACCTTTTATTCGGTAGATGGAATTTAAAACATTCTTCTATCGATAGTTTTAAAAGAAAATAAAACAAAATTATTTTTATTCGCCTTGAAAAATGTTTTCTTATATAGGGTATTGACATTGCTCCATATAAACTTTAACGATGTAAATTGAGACGAGCTTATCTGTGCCGGCGCTGAGCTGCTGTAAGAGAGGCGCTGCTATCGCGGCTAATTCTATCTGAATATACATACATATGTAAACCCAATACATAGTGAAACAAGGATATCTGACCCGGTTACATGGCTTGCTATCCTTGTTAATTCGGTCAGAAAATGACATAAGAAAGAAACATGAAAGACAGCTACAGCTATGACTGGACATTGAGACACTTTGTGGACGCTAACAAGGTAGTGCTAAAGAACTGTCATAATTTTGTTAAACTTATGTCCATCGGACAGATAACTTTGTTTGCATATTATGTTCGTTTTTTGAAGTTTATTATTTTATTATCTAGTAATTCAAAAGTATTATTCTAAAAGATTTACTTCAGTTGTGTTTAGTAATTATTAAAGGAACCGTTCAATAGTTTTGGCGCGGATTAGTAGTTCCGCTTTCCGCCGATGGATGACTCTGTCATTAAAATGCATTTTAAAACTGATTTTATGGATCGCTGTAATTTATTCAAAATATATAGAGAAAGTAAAAGTAGAAACATGTTTTTAGCCGGCATATGCTTAAATTCTGATAAAACAACAAAAACAATGATTACATTTTTATTTCTTAAATCGTGTTATCAAATAATTAAAAAAAATAGTATATCAAATTTGTAATTATATTAAAAAAAGTTATTGTGAACATGGATAGTGTACGTGCATTGCTTAGAATGAAAATACATTACTTTCATTTTTTTCTCTCTGTCCACAAATGCACGTTTGATCCGATTAATCTCCAGAATGGATGAACTGATTTAGTCGGGACTTTCGCTGGTAAATAGGTGCGATAGTCACTTAAGTAACTTATAATTTCGCGCTGACGAAGTGGAAGGCAATAGTTAGTATAATAAATAATAAAATTATTAAAAATCTTTTTCGCCAAAAAATAAACTTTCTGGTTTCATTGGATAGTTCATTATAAAAATACAGATTTATGTTTTGTTTTGAACAGAGTCCGACGTTAGTGTTATAAAAAACCAAAGTCGGAATTTAAAAGAAAAATTCTGAGCCTCGCCGGGATTTTCCTCATCTCTTTGATGCGCCGCTGGCATAATTCCTTTTTAACTTCATACTATCTTCTTATTAGTGCGATCTTTTCTTTTAACAATACACAGAATTAAGGATTAGATTTTTCACTTAATAAAAACATAAATCAGAATGCAGATATTCGAGCCTTCGAACATGCAATCAGATGTGCGTATCCTCAACCAGTAGGCTAGTGTCACTTCAGAGATTATATTGTTATTGTTGTATTTATCGGACCTTGGGTTGAGACGAGGCGCAGTTATCGCGGTTGTGTAACAAGTAACAGACATGGTTTTAAAGCCAAGGTCCGAGTAATTGCTAAGACAAATTCTTCTTATTGGTCACAGTACATAAATAGACAAAAACAAAAGCATTCAGTGAAACAGCCGCGAAGCGACGCGACGCGACGCGACGCGACGCGACGCGATGCGAGCCGAACGCCGGAAGATTAGTTCAATAAACACTATATAACTTTGAAATAACTTTTCACAATCCGGTCCTGATTGAAGTTAACCCGACAACATATATACATATACATATAAATAAGGAAGAACACACACGAAATAATTTGAA